ATTTGCCGTTCTTACAACGTACCTCTACTGATCAACGATCGGATCGATGTTGCCCTCGCCTGCGATGCTGATGGCGTGCACGTAGGCCAGTCCGACATGCCGGCTGAATTGGCTCGCAAAATTCTTGGTCCAAGCAAGATCATCGGCGTGTCCTGTAAGACCCCGGCGGCAGCCATGAAAGCTTGGGTTGATGGTGCCGACTACATCGGCTGCGGAGGAGTTTTCCCTACCAATACAAAGCAGAACAATCTGACCATTGGATTGAAGGGACTCGAAACTGTTTGTTCGGCTTCGAAGCTTCCTGTGGTCGCCATCGGCGGTATTGGTGCCGGAAATGTGCAGTCGGTTATGGAACTTGGTGCGCCCAATCTGAAAGGTGTAGCAGTTGTTTCTGCTCTTTTTGATCAGGAATCTGTTGTTGCTGAGACCCGCAGACTGAAATCGTTGTTGACTGAATGGTGATGACTTGTAGGGTTTCTCCTGTTCCCGGTGAGAAAGTGTTCAGTTTTTCTCTTTTGATGTTTTATAATAACTAGTAATGAAAAACCAGAATCTCTTGTTCTTCTTTCAACATTGACTGATTATTTAATTTATATATTTATTATTTTGTGTGGGTTGTGTTCCTATTATATTGTTTGGTTTGGTGTGGTATGCCTTATATTATTTTTGTGGCTAAATTTATTATGATATAGTTGTGATTTAAATAGGGCAAGTGTTAAGTTAGCTTGGATAGGTCGGTTTCAAATTGGTCGATATCAATTGCACTCAAAATTTGAATCTGAAATGCAAAAGCGAACATATCGAGCCAAAATTTAATATGGTTTAAATGGTTCAATTGTGAACGAGTCAATTCCTAATTGTCAGTTTCATTAGAATCATAAAAAAATTGAGGTTTTATATTATAGTTAGTCCCGTAATCATGTAAAAATCTCAATGTTTGTAAATTTTCCTACATAGTTACACTAACCTAACAACAATATTTATATTCTCTTAGAGTTGTGCATGGTAACCCAATAGTTCGACTAGCCTACTCATGTATTACTAGATCACAATCTATTTTAACATCCAAAGTGATCATTTTAGGAGTAAATTAAATTCAAAAGGTTAAATTATCAACTTATAATCACATCAACATGTAATCACATAACAAACATTCCACCAACTTGCATAAAATCCAATTCAAAGAAGGAGAACAATTTTAATTCCTACCATTTTAAATGAAAATAACAAAAATTCTATTGCATAATCCAATGTAACAAAGTTAGAATGATATCATCGGGTTTCTTCACCAAATTATATGAAGTTGCAGCATAATATCTAAATTTCCACTCAATTTGAGTTCATAAATGTATACATTAACACTTGTGCTCT